TTGGTCTCCATGTCCTCTCTCTCACGGCCCCGCATACCTTCCAACCTCCGTGCAATCTCTACCACCTACTGATATGGGGTATCTGTCTCACACTCTCGAGCCATGTTGAACCTAATACCATAGTTTAGCCCCTCGATAAATCAACGGACTTGCTCTCTGACTGTAGAAACCAAGCAAGGTGCATGTCTAGACAAATCACTAAATTATACAGCATACTCCGACACTATCATAGTACCCTGGCGCAACTACTCAAACTATGTGCGCCATGCATCTCGAAGAGTCTGAGGAACAAACTTTCTCAAGAACAATTCTGAAAACCGGGTCCATGTAAGTGAAGTTGCATCGGCTGGGCTACCCTCCTCGTACACCCGACACTATAGATATACTGCTCCTGACCGCTAGAATGTAGTACAAGAAACCCCACTCGTCTCCATAATACCTATGGTGCGGAGAATATGGTGGCATTCCTCTAGAAAACCATATGCATCCTCTGAAGCCAAACCACTGAAAGTAGGAAGGTGATACTATATGAACCTCTCAAGTCTAAGTTGCTCCTCCTCAGATGTTGCTTCCCTAACCACAAGCTGAACTAGAATAAGAGGTTATACTAGTATAACCTCAGGGACCTGATCAACTTGGACCTGCTACTCTAGGGTACGGGCCGGGGGAGTCTGAGCTCTTCCCCAAACCTGAGATATGGCTGGTGCAAGTGGAATCTACCCCACCTGAGCTAAGGTACCGACCATGCTTAAGAACTGTGCGAGGGTCTCCTGAAGTAGTGGGGTAGCAATAGGCGCCTCGGGTGCCTGTCCCCCAACTAGAGCTATTAGTGGCTCCTCTGTCGCAGCTTGGATAGGTGCTTTGGCTGCATCGCGTGCCCCCCTTAACCTCTGTCCCAGCCTCTCACGGCTCTAGCAGGGGGCGCGGGTGTCTGATCATCGGATCCAGCAGTGCGTGTCCTCACCATCTGTGAGAGAATAGAAAGTTAAAGATTCAGTTTTCGAAGTCAACCAATTCGCACGATAAGGAATCAAAGAAGTGAAGTTTTCCTAATAGTTTTGTAGCCTCTCAAAGATAAGTACAAACTTCTCTGCACCGATCCGACTTCAAAATGATGTCGCTTCCACAACTTCAACACCAATAACTCAACAATGAGAAAGATAACGTGTAACTACGAACCAAATACAATTAACTCACAATGGAAGAAATAACAAGACTTCAATGAGAACAATAGCAACGAAAGAGATAACTAGTAACTATGACTCCAAATAATGATAATTAACAATGATAGAGATAACACATATAATGACTTCAAGTAATGATAATCAACAATAAAAACGATAACATGTATCAAATAAAGGAGCAACAAGTTAAACTAAAGCATGAGAGCAATTAATCAAGTAAGATGTAGAACAAGTGTTAAACAAATCAATTAAGGCATATGAGGATAGACTAATACAAATAAGAATAGATTGACTATGACAATTTAGAGCATGATATGTCATTTAAACTAAAGCATGAAAATAGTCTAAGTAGCCTAAGCTGGTCAAATACCACGCACAACCCGTGTACCCACCCGTCACCTTGCGTACACGGGTTTCACATAGCACAAGAGACACAATCAACCCCAAATCCCAAGGGGTAGTTCCCCCATACAAAGTTAAGCAAGATACTTACCTCAATTAGGCCAGTTCAACACTCGGAAATAGCTTTCCGCCTAAAATTCGCTTCCACACGGCTCAAATCTAACCAAAATCGACTTAATATTATCAAACAATGCTAGGGAAATAAATTGTAATAGATAAAGCTAAGATCTTTATACTTTTCCCAAAAAGTTAACAAAAGTCAACCCGGGGCTCGCTCGATCAAAACCCGGGTCCAATGGCAGATTCCGACTACCCATGATCCCACGAGTACATATATGTGATTAGTTTCAAAATCCGAGTCCAAATCGACTCTCAAAACTCAAATTCTTATTTTTTAAAACTTAACAAAGTTTCACAAATTTTCACTTTGATTTACTTGATTTTGATGTTAAAATCTAAGATATATTGATGGAATATAATTAGAAATGTATTAGAGTCACTTACCCAAAGTTTGTAGATGCAAATTCCCTCTCCAAATCGTCCTACAAAGTCTAGAGTTCAAAAATGAGAGAATATTTTCAAAAACCCCATCTCCCAGCCATTTGTACCAGTTGCAGATGTCGCAATTGCGATACATGATTCGCATTTGTGAACCCACACAATTGGGGAGCAGTGCTCGCATTAGTGAACCCTGATAACCTCAGAAATTATCGCAATTGCAAACTAGACAGCATTACAAAAGCGAACAAATGTTCGAACTAAGTCATATGCCGACAAACTTCGCAAATGCGAAGGGGTAGTCACAATTGCGACATTAGAGCCCCCACTGTCACCTTCGCAATTGCGATGTTGGTGCTCACAATTGCGATACCTGAGCACCAACAGCACCATCAGTTCATTTTCAATGCAATCTATTCTGAAATACGTCCTAAACTCATCTGAGCCCTCGGGGCTCCAAACCAAACATCCACACAAGTCTTAAAATATCATACGAACTCGTTTGTGCGATCAAAACAAAAAATAACATATAAAACTACGAACTGAATACCAAAACGCATGAATTTCAAAGTAAAGCTCAAGAATTTTTAAAATTACAACTAAACATCCGAACCATATCAAATCAACTCTAAATGACATCAAATTTTGTAGAAAAGTTCTAAATACCGTAACGAACCTATTCCAAGTCCCAATATCAAATTTAGAGCTCGATAGCTAAAAGTCAACCTACGGTCATACATTTTCAATTTCAAATTACCAAATTTCAGCAACTCAAAACAAATTAATCTACGAACTTCCGAAATTAATTCCGAACATACACCCAAGTCCGAAATCACAATACGAAGTTATTGGAGCCATCAAAATACAGTTCCGGAGTCGTTTTCACAAAAGTTGGTCAACATTTTTAAGTCAAACTTCTAAGTCAAGAATCAAAGGGTCCAAATCAACCCGAAAGCTTTTCGGAACGGAACTAACCAACCCCGTAACATAAAATCATAAACACACATGTGTGAAGCATTAAAAGAAGGGTAACTAGGTGCAATTACACAAAACGACCGATCGGTTCATTAGACCGCCCAAGCCCAAATTTCTCTTTGCAATCGCGAGAGTATCTTCGCGATCGCAAAGCACAAAGTACCGGACACCAGCAACTGCTGAATACCAGCAAATTTCTAAGTCCAAAATGGTTCGTAGCCTATCCAAAACTCACCTGAGCCCCTCGGGCTCCAAATCAAACATGCGCATAGGTGTAATAACATTATACGAATTTGCTCGCATGATCAAAATACCAAAAAACACCTAGAATTACGAATCGGACGTCAAAATGCTTGAAATTTCAAAAAAAAAAACTCAAGAACTTCTAAAATCACAACCAAGCGTTTGAATCCTATCAATCTAACTCCAATGTGTACCAAAATTTGCAAACAAGTTTCAAATAACAAAACGGACAAGTACCAAGTCGCGGAACCAAAATCCGAACCCAATAGCCATAAAGTCAACCTATAATCATACCTCGGAGGTTTCCAAACCTTCAAATTACTACCTTTCGGCAAATAAGTCAAATCAACTTAGGGACTTCCGAATTCAATTCTGAGCATACACCCAAGTCTAAAATCACGGTACGAACCCACCGGGATCGTCAAAATATCGATCCTGTGTCGTTTACATAAAATATTAACTGTAGTCAACTCATATTATTTTTAAAGTCAAAAATCATATTTTCATCGAATTTTCGCATAAAATCTTTCTAGAAAAAAACACGGACTGCGTAGGCAAATTGAAAAATATTAAATGGAGCTAATAGAGATCTCGAAACACGGAAATAAGGGTTAGTACTCAAAATGACCTATGGGGTCATCACACATTTAGACACCTAAACTTAGGGGTGTTCCAATGAGAATTTACACTACACGAACTTTGTTCCAATTGGACACTCTTTTGACTATTAGCGAAACTTACAAAGTGTGTGCAATAAACTCGCTGCTGACGTGGCAAATGCAAATAAAATGAGGACATATATCTTTTTGAGTAAAAAAGGAGGAAAACTATGTTAAATCTATTTAATAAATAAAAACAAAATAACATTCTCAAAAAGAAAAGAAAAACTTAATTTACACTCAATCAGAAAAGAACACAATACAAAAATGATACATTGGTGTTCTGGAAATCAGTGTTCTTGGTGTTCTTCAATGCCTTCATGCGTGTTCTTATTCCAACCACGATTTTAATCCAAGATTTTAAGAGAAACTCCTCCACATTTGTTATAACTTCAGCTAACGATTTCCCATGAAGAAAACAGACTCACTTCAATTTTAATCAATAGGACTATTGTTGGTTCAAACTTTTGAGCTAAATCAAATGTTAGAGGCACAACAATGGTGAAAGTGGAGGAGGCAATGGTAGAAATGGTGGTGGAGAGAAAGAAGAAGAGGAAGAAGGAGGAGGAGGAGGAAAGAAAAAAGAAAAAAAAACAAAAAAAATTATTTTTTTAGGCTCTTGAGGCGCCTATATTGGGTGAAACTCACTCTATGTGTCAACTCAACAAGAAGTGTCTATTTAGAATATGTTAGTAGTGTAAGTGCTTAATAGGAATATCATTAAGTTTAAGTGTCTAAATGAAAAATCGTACCAATTTTAAGTGTGTTCAACCATTTTTATTTGAAGGAGCATGAGACGAAGTTGGTAGCAAAGGAAATGCTTTCATTGATTAATAAATTTTAATTTTTTTACTATAATTTGTTAAGTACAACTACATTTATAGAAATCCCTTATTTTTTTACACATTTCAACTTGTCACTTCTGATTGTGATATCAATAAGTTAAGATAAATTTTGTTCATCTCACTTCTAGAGGAAGTGAAAATTCTTGTATTTCTTTGGATAAAAGAACTTTATCATACAAAAACTTAAAAAAAACGTGTGATATTACGATGTCGTCGCATTAAAACTTATCGACGACGTCTTAATCCCCGTTCAATTATTCAGGGTTTTACTGCTCCAATTACAAAAGAAGTGAGAAAAACCGCAAGAGAATAATCAGTGTGAAAGTGCGAAGGACTCTCTACGGAGATGGCGGCAAGTGGTGTAACGGAGAGAAGGGGAATACCGGCGGCAGCATTTGTAGAAGACGTACTGTCGTATCTCAATGAATCTGCTCTCGATGTCAACTCTGCTCTTGCCTTCCTCCAAGAAAGGTAAGTATATGATCTGTTTCCTAGCTAATTTTATTGTTTTTATTACTTGAGATCAAATCAAGGTCAGAGATTACGTGTACTGTAGAGTTTTAAATTCAGCTTATGAGTCCTTTTTTTTTGTTTGGTTTCTGTTTTGTGTTGTTTACTTGAATTAGGAGTTAGTTGTCTGCTATGATGTTAAAAGTTTCAATCTTTAGGGATCTTATGATTGCTTGAAAATGTCATTTACATATATTTTCGAAGTGTTTTGGCATGAGTATATGCGTTCCTTCTTTTTATTTACTTCAGGGTTTGCTTGATTAGATATTACTCAGTTCTTTTCTATGATGTGAGAGTTCGATTCTTTAGGAATTCTAGAAATTCTGGGATAATTGTTGTGACTTAAAGTTTGAGCAAACCAAGTTTGGTGGCTAGGTGTAATGGAGAGTTTTGACTTCAGTTTAGGAGTTTCTTTGGTTTTTTTTTATTGTGTTAATTTTTCTTCAGGGTTCCTTAATTAGAAAATAGTTCTTTGCTATGNTTCTTGAGAATGGTAATAGTTTTATATATAGAAGAGTGCACTATACAAGTTGTAAAGTTACCCGAAATTACATAGTAAAATACAAGAGTAGGTCCTATCTGTATGCCTTCTTACAAATAGTCTAGGACTTCAAAAATAGATTCAGCATCTTCTAAATATTCTTGCTTACACCAAAATATAACAGCACTAAACAATTCATCTTCAGCTTTTATATGGTGCTATATTTGTCTTCAAAACACCTCTGATTCCTCTCTTGTTGGGACAATCCTCCGTCTCTCTTTCTGACTTGATAAATTGCCATCTCTGCTCCAAGTTAAAAGGTAATTCACTAGAGAGAGGTAGAGTGAAATTATTAGTCCAATGCAAGAAGAAAGTGTAGAAGAAGCGGAGTAGGAAAAGTAGAGAAGATTGGCATATTAGAAAATGATTTGCAATCTGATCTACATCCATCTTTATTTTTTGATTACTAAATAAAATCAGTTTGATTACAGATATGGTAGTGTGCATCTGATCTTTCCTAATCTATGCTGTTTCGTTATTAGAATTCCATGCATTTTCTTGCTTTCTCACTTATTGAATACTGTCCTTCTAACAAGTGTTATCAAAGACGAAAAGCACAGAAAAGCTCTAAAGGTCCGTTGGGTCTTTAAGCGCAAAACACAAATAAAGTGCGGGCTTTAATCATTGTTGTAAATAGCGAGCTGTAGCGACGCGAGGCGAGGCAGCTGCACCTTTTTTGGTTTGTTGCGTTGCGAATCAAAAAAGCGAGCGCCTCTGCCTGTGTAGCGAGAGGCGCTGCGAGGCATCGCTATTTGAAAATAACGGAAGAAAAGGCAGTGATTTATACTAAAACACAAAATTAGGGCTTGGGTTTCACTTCTTCTCCTTCAGCGACGAGCAGCGACCACTTCTTCTCCTTCAGCGACAAAATGAGGGCTTGGGCTTCAACTTCTTCTTCTTCCATCATCAGCCAGGTATGTTACTTTCTTTTCTTTTCTTCTTCTTCTACTTTCTTCTTCTTCTATTTCAGCTCTAGTCGACTTCACGTCTTCACCATTTCTTTTTTCTTTTTCTTCTTCTTTCTTCAGTAGTGATCAGCTCTTTCTTCTTCTTGTCTTTTTTTTTTGCCTCTGTTTTTCTTCTTCTTTCTTTGCTCCATTTTTCTTCTTTCTTTCTTCTTTCTTTCTTTCTTTGCTCTGTTTCTTGACCAGAGCTTTATTTTCTTTTTTGGGTTCTGTTTTTCGAGATTCGACCAGAGGCAGAGCAGAGGGCCAGAGGCAGTAGCCTTTTTTTTGCTTGCTCTGATTTGTTGCTCTGTTTTTTTAATTATAGACTTATAGTTATATGTATATAACATTTTATGTTTTTGTATAAATTGTCGCTTCACATCAAAAAGACGAGTGCTTCGCTGCGCGCCTTTCGCCTCAGTGAAGCGGGCCCTCATCGCTATTTGTCGCCGCACGCTATCCTAAACACTGGCTTTATTGAAGAAAGGCGCAAAAAGAGGAAAAAAATATAAATATGTATATGTAGTCCAAGACTAATAGTTATAAGCATATATATATGGACAAAGAAATTGAATTTTTTTATGATATAAGTGAAATATCAATTGTTTAGCGTCGTCTCTTCAGGATTACAATCATTGGCAAGGAGAGCCTTGATGACGATATTGAAGCGCCCGCTAGGCGAGGCGAAGCGCTCAACATGTTTTGCGTTTCGCATTAGGGCTTAAGGACACCTTTGACAACTCTGCTTCTAACCTTACATGACATAATTATTTTACAACCTAAATGAATAAGTATACCAATTACTGAGCTCTTCAAAAAGTTTAAGGTAACGTCAAAAAGATCCTTCTTGCACTTTTTAATTTGCTTGTGCTTAATGATGCATCATCATCTATCTGAAGGACCAAGCCAAACTGTTGCATGGGGTTGGTCTAAATTGTATAAAATTCCATAAATAGATGCAAGAAGTTTGATTAAAGATATCTTTGGATTCAGTTGTTAAAGCATGAACTTTTGGCATAATGGTATTGTGCTCTATGCACCAAAAAATTGTGGATGGAACCATGGTTATCTATGGAATCATCATATGAAGTCCGTGTTCTCATATTTGAAGACAACATTGTCCTTGCTGTCACAGACATTAATACCCTCTCTGTAGTATATATAATAATGCCCTATAAGTTGTAGTTTCATTGAATAAGGATTCTCACACTATGCTAATATCAATAGAGCGCTTGCGTTTCTTGCTTGTTCTTCTAAATGTTATAGGAGTATTTATTTTGAAATGATAAAGTAGATGGGAATTGTTTTGGACAAAATTGGAAATCTATAGTTTCTTGTGTTCTTTTGTGATTTGGCTCTGTACTATGGAACTCATCTATCATAATTTTGTAATCCTATCTGTTCTGGGTGGTTGCTCTGAATATTTATCTACTAATAAGTCATAAGCCCCAGAGCCATGCATACCAGTTAGCCCCACTTGAAAACTTGTGCAAGTAGCTAGTTATTTATGTTCTCCTCTAAATATTCAAATGTATGTATGTCATTCATTTGCAGACTTCAGCAGTACAGAGTGGTTGAGATGAAACTTCTGGCTCAGCAGAGGGATCTTCAGGTACATGTTTCTGTGTTATTTAGCATTCAGTTCCATTCACAAGTAAGTCTGACCTAATGTGGGTACTGACATTTGGTTGGTATCATAGTTCTTTTGAGAAAACTTGAGTGGAGAAAGTGTCCGTCTTTCAGAATCTTTTTGGTTGATTCTTGTCATGGGAAGTTTTAGAACCACACTTAAGTTTGGCGTATATTGCTGTTGATTTCCAGGAATGTGTTAAGACTTAATGGTATGATTAGCCTTTTCATCAGATTGAAAGGAAAAATGAACTAATATGGTAATTCATGTGTTACTTTCCACATCATTTCAATTTCCCAGTGTTCAGATAATTCATGTGTTACTTTCCGCATCATTTCAGTTTTCCATAGGTGTTCAGACTAATGTGTTATGAAGGAGGAATAAAGATTGTCCTTCTACAATTTGTTGCTTCATGTCATAGCCATGAATAGGATACCATTCTTAAGCACATGCTCAGATTACTAGTTATTTGACCAACATATGAGGATTACGGCAATTACATCACTCCGCAGATGAATGATTTTTTCTACAATTCCTGAAGGTTGGAATCTGCCTGACCTTAAAGAGAGCTTATGCGTGCAGAACTATAAAAATTGTTGGACTTCTCCACTTCTGCTAGCTTCCACGTGCCAGTATAGACTGCCTCATGCTACTAATGGGTTATTCTCAAATTTATTTTTAAAATAGAAGAGATTCTTCTTTTTAAATGTGAAGTTTCGAAATGCATTAAACATACTGGTGCCTCTACAATTATTGGACTGTTTCTAAAGATTTGTGTTGTGATACTGATTAAACGATTGCCTTTGCATGTTTGACATCTTCATATCATACTTTCATGAATGAAGTTAGATTCATGATACGTCAGAGTCATACTGAAAATGCCTCAGTTTTGCTAGGTAATGCTTTCATTTTGTTCTACTCAGATTTGTGAAGAGTTTCTCTTATCCTTATCTGCTCTATGCCAGGCAAAGATTCCTGATATAGAGAAATGCTTGGACATAGTTGCTACTTTGCAAGCTAAGAAGGACAGCGGTGAGGTTTGTTCTAGTGCTATGCTTTTAATTATTCGTTTTTATTTTTGATTTATAAAATTTTAATAGAAGTTTCGCCACTCTTTGATACATGCACGTTATCTGGTGGTTGCATCAAATCATTTTGACTACTATTTATTCAGGACAAAATAGTCTGTTAACTTGCCTGATTTCATGTTTGCAACATTTGAAAATGAATTTTCTTAAGTGGAGAAATAATAGTTCTATCATCCTTATATCAAAAATAATAATCCTAGCTCTATCATCCTTATCAACCATAATAATTCTAGTTCTATCATCCTTATCAAGAATAATAATTCTATCATAGAATGGTTAAACAAATCAACATTTTTACTCCTTTCTTACAGTAGATAGTTTTACTGAGGTGTTGGAGACCATTTTTCCATATTAGCTAAATTTTGGGACTTGAAGTGACTGCATAAGATACCGACTGGTGGATTTGGTAACCCGATGTTCCCCTTTAATCCTGATAGTTAAATTAGCCTATTTCCATCTCTAACATGAGCCACCTTACCGACGGATTAGAACGGAGATGTTAATAGCGCTGCAAGGATTCAATGAACATGAGCTGAAAGAAGTTCACGATTTGGGAGAGCTGTGTATTACTATATAATTTGTGTTTTCATTGGCTTGTGGCATCCTATTGAATAAAGATGTTGTCAATTTGATTTTATGTTTACCTCAATAACGTTACGTGAAGTGCACAAAGACCACCAAACTCTACACAGTTCCATTAAGGAACAAATCTTTTTGGCCAAATACATACACGACCCCTTAAACTTGCCTGTCATTTTCATTTAGGGACTTGATCTCGAGCTAGTACCTATTGACACCTAAACTCCTCCAAATTCGTACCTATTAAACACATTTTGCTGACATGGCAAGGTATGTATTTTACACTCTTTGAGCGCGTTCAATATCCATTTTTTTTTTTTTTCTGTTTCTGTTTTTCCATTCTTTTTCTTTTCCTCTTATTTTTGTCTTGTCCGGTGACCCACATTGGCAGAAATTTTCATGGCCGGTGGCAAGTTCGATGGCTTGCTTGCAAAACTCGCTTCTTACTTCTCCACCATAACACCACCATCAAAAACCTCATATCTTCTCCACCATTTCCAACACCACCATGATCAACCACCATTAACATCTTTTTCACCATAGCCACGTCGTTCCTATCTGCCATTTTGGGGTCAGTCATAATCATTGAGGGATTCGAACTAATCACTCTCACGTATACCCTTTTTCTCTAAGTGCCTTACAAGCTTGAGTCCTTGATTAATAAAGCATCAAGCTTGTCTGAGCACCATTGGCCTTGTACCCAGTATCAAAATCTTTTATATATCAAATCTCTATTTCCCAATTTCTGCTTCCCAATTACCCCATTGTTATGGTCACGCAGAATGGATCTTGTCACAGGGCGATTCACTGGAAAGTCTGTGTTGAACAGATCCTTTCCCTTGTTTCTATTCCGTGAGCGACCTATTTTGATAACAACAAATAAGCTCGTTAAAGGGAGCCTATAACCTTAGAACTCGTTAGAGAGAGTCCCAGATCTCTTGTTTTTAATATAATCTTTTTCCCCTTTTCTTTATTCCTTCTGTCTCTTTAAATAGAGTCTTATTACAAAGCTATTAAGCATAACTAGGAGTCTACGGATATAAGAAATCTACTAAATTAAGAATTCTAGTAAAATTAAACTACTGACTATTTAAATACCCACAAATATCTGTCAGGTGCATCTTTATTCCTATCTACTTATCCTCTTTGACGTTGCTATTTTCCTCAACTCTAGGGCCCCGCCTTGCTTAAACTTTACCTACGAATGAGTCTGTAACATTACCCCCCTCCTCTTTAAAGAGCTTGTCCTCAAGCTCGAAGTCTGGATAAGCATTACGAAAATGTTCAGCATCCTCCCAAGTAGCATCGGACAAATCAAACCCACACCAGTGCACTAAGAGTTCCCAAGTTCCTCGATTAAGACGAGCTCGTAGAACAGAACAAGGCATAGGAACAACTCGACCATCCTCTAGTGGTGGCAGAATCGGAGGAACTGCAGGAGCAGCACCCTTAATAGCTTTAAGGAGGGATACATGAAATACATTATGCAACTTACAGTCACTGGGCAGCTGTAACTCATACGCAACTTCCCCTATTCGCCGCAACACAGGAAAAGGCCCAAAGAACCGAGGTGCAAGCTTATGGCATAGTTGACCTGCAACAGATTTTTGACGATAAGGATGTAAACACAGCCAAACTAGTGAACCTGGCTCATATGCTACCTCACAGTGACCTTTGTCATAATATTCTTTCATCCTAACTTGAGCTTGTTGCAACTTGCTGCGAATGTCAAGCAGAACTAAATCACGATCCATCAACGCATTGTCAATATCCTCTACTCGTGAAGAACCAGCCACATAGGACAATAGACGAGGAGGATCTCGGCCATAAACAACCTTA